ACAAACACAGGCAAAGCCAGGTAAATTGGTATTATATAAAATAATGGTACAAGGCAAAGAAGGGAATTGCATCGGACAAATATTTCTCACTGATGCGTTATATTGGGAAATAAATATCTTCCGCGTCTACCATACAATTTTACTGTGGCATTGGATATTTTAACCCTGATCAAAACAACTTAAGAGCATAAGAGCACGGTTGGTATGACACTTTGAAATCTTGGTGAAAGGGCAAGCTCGAGAGCCCCTCAATTGTGAACGTAAACACCAAACACATAATGCACCGACGTCATTATATGTGATATGATACGTGAATTGGTCTCCCTGCACTTCTTTATGTACAATACAAACATGGCGTGTTACCTCGTCACGTGGGTTCGTGTGTGTAGGTTTCACAGATCTATCACGCATAGCGTGCACGTATATGTATATTAGGCAAGTCTACCACAAGCAAGTACTGTAAAACAAAATATTATTTCACAATAAACATTCTCTCAGTGAATCTAGAAATACGCGTCATATCAGTTTAGTCAGAGGGGCTTTCGCGCTTGCCCTTTGAAAGTGAACTACACCCGATCAATGCATCGATCGGAAATGTGGGAAAACGGCAATCCCCATATTATACAGAAAATTCATAAGAAATTCTGTAAAATATGTAATCTTTCCGCCAATCACCAACTACAGTAATCTTGACAGCATGTGGAAGATTACCTCTGCAATGTATATTACAACTTCCGGGTTGCGGTGTATACAGTTGCTCAGTAAGCTGGGTGGGCGGTATTCAGAGCGATTTTTCATGTATGTTTTGGGCGACAGAAACTGAATGTGTGTTGTAAGGGAACTTCTCTTCTTTAGTTAAGTTTTCATTAGGTTTTCATACACATGGATAGCCCTTCACATGGGCGACACAACTCCCTTTCAAAGCTTGTCTGGACAATGACGCGAGGGTGTCGATTACTATGATGGCCAAATGATGTCAAATGTTCATTATGTGACCTGAAATAAACTTATAATTAAAAGTATATACTGTTTTAGTCAAGATATGGCTGAAATATTGCCAAAGTGACTTTAAATTTTAACTGACTAACTCACTCATTATGTGACCGTAAATACCCTTCTTCAAAACAAATGTAATTCCAGAGATGCGTTTACAATACATGTATTTGACAATCAGATGACTTACGTCAGTATATTGTGCACATGCGATTGATCAGGAGCTATAAACGACACGGTGGCACAGTACAGGCCAGAATTACATTTCATGATCTTAACACGGAAGCTGTTGAGAGGTTGACGTATATCGTGTTCAGTCGCAACACGAGCCTGTGCATGTGAGTGTTTGGGCAGATAGGTAAGTTAATGGGGTAAGTGTGTGTGCGAGTGCGGGGATGTCTGTTGGAGGTCGGGGTGAACGCCATCAGTGGATGGGTCCGATGGGGAAATTGGGCTAAGCCAAGTGGGGGCAGGAGGGTCGTATACAGTGGGGAGGGGTGAACGCCATCAGTGGATGGGTATGTGGTTGTTGGTAGGCGTATGTGTTGGCAGACTAGATGGGTTCCATGGGGGAAGGAGGAAAGGGGAATGGAATTGGGGGAACGAAGGTGTGTGGATAAGAGTGTTGTCAAGAGGGGGTTAGGGTGAACGCCATCAGTGTTGGGTAGGTTGTTGGGGGTGGGTGGGTGACACGCAAGGGTGGGGGTATTGGTGTTCCTGCCAAAAGGTTGGTGTGAGAGCATAAGACTTGTAGGTAGGGAGATTGGTTGTGCGTTGGTCTGCATATCAAAGAATGGGAGTAAAAACTGAATGGGGACATTGTATTGTGTGTGTTTGTGGTATAAGATCACGGTGGACATATACGATCTAGACTCCTTGAAATCTACAAAAAATCCACTCTCAAGACTTTCGCAGCAACACGCTCAAAGATCTATACAGTAAAGTCCAATGTGACTTTTGTGGTTGGCACAGCCAGCCTAGTACTGCCGACACACTGGACATGTTGGTGGTGCCCATGTATTCGTTCACCTACAACATCGTCAAACATCGTCATACAAAGCAGGGGCATTGGATGCGAGTTTATTATCGTTTAACATGACTGACTGACTGAGTTTGGTTTTACGCCGCTTTTAGCAATATTCCAGCAACATCACGGCGGGGAACACCAGAAATGGGCTTCACACATAGTACCCATGTGACGAGCCAACGCTTTAACCACTAGGCTACCCCACCGCCCCCGTTTAACATGAATACTGACATACACAGAGATCCATGCACACATGCGGGGTGACACCCCCCACACCGTACATACACACCAACAGTGAGAGAACCTAGACAAGAAAGCGTGCCTGTACAACAAGGAAGACAAGGCTATCCATGTCCATACAGAGTGATCTGGGTTCATACAGCAAGAACGTATGTAGCTGGTGCTATATCCGCCTCCCGTACACTTAGTGTCCTAAATCACGTCTGTTGTGTTATCACGTTACACCCAGAGATGTAGCCTTACATCCTTGTAGGTAGTGAGGGCGTCAATTTATGAGTGAGTGCGTTCTGTATACCGGCGCTTTGAACGGTATTCCAGTTATATCACGGTGTGTCAGCTTGATGTAGGAGAGCGTGGCGTTATCCAGGTGTTTGACGTCAACTTCTTTGGTGAAACCATAGAGTATGCGCATACTGACAAGAGCTATTAACATCTGAAGGTTCCTGGTTTCATGGACATATCGTTACATATGCATATATTTGGTGAAACCTTAGAGTATGCGCATACTGACAAACCTGAGCTATTAACATCCGAAGGTTCCTGGTTTCATGGACATATCGTTACATATGCATATATTTGGAAGACGTCAGGTGGATGAAAAAACAAAGAAATTGATGAACCTCAGCAGACAGTAATTTGGAGGTGGATTTACACATCACACACAGATTATTGTAAATACATGCATGCAGTAGGGATACACTACAGGCATTTTTTCAAAGAGACAAAAAGCTAAAAATCGGTTGCCATACTCCAATCTTGGTCTAGACCTTGTAATCATTGAAACGTCGGGCATTAACGAATACTGTAATTTAGGACGAACAATAATATCTGTTCAGTAAACATGATAAACATATTAATTATCTCTCTCTTTATAAAATTTACAAATATCATCACTGATTATTTGCCCCAACCTGACAATGTTGTGAGCATTTTATTACGTGTCTACGTAGTCGCGACGTTTCTTTTTAGATAAAAAAATACTGACAGTATTAGATTCCCCGTCTTTCGATTAGGGGATAAGACAAACGCATGCAAACTGAACAACGCTTAAATTCTTTGTTCTTTTCTACGTGAGTGGTTTCTTCGGTCAGATGTCGTTATCAGAAGGGGCGGTTGGGTAGCCTAGTGGTTAAAGCGTTGGCTCGTCACGCCGAAGGCCCGGGTTCGGATCCCCACATGGGTACAATGTGTGAAGCCCATTTCTGGTGTCCCCCGCCGTGATGTTGCTGGAATATTGCTAAAAGCGGCGTAAAACCAAACTCAGTCAGTAAGTCGTTATCAGAATATAAAACTGCATCGATCCCGTGATATATGTTTACTTGACATTAGGTAATAGGTCATCAACAGATTGAGATAACATTCTATGGTTATCTTTCTGCTTTCTTTCACCTGGTATTATTACAGAAGTCAGTTTTCATTCTAACTTTACCACTTTCAGGGAAATATTAAACTACATATTATTGGAGTCTGTGTGTTCCCTACCTTCAAAACACATTGCTTGAAACAGTACAAACTGGGCTTGCAACGCCGATGAATTTTGAATTTTAAAAATCGATAAACAGTTGGTGTTAATGAATATTTAATGTATGGAATGTTTAATGCTGCAATATGAAAACCTTTACTTGACATTAAGTAATAGGTCATCAACAGATTGAGATAACATTCTATGGTTATCTTTCTGCTTAATGAATTATTAATGCATGGAATGTTTAATGCTGCAATAAGAAAACCTGCGGCTATTCTGACAACACGTTTATCTCTAGAATGTTCTACATAAGTTAAGTCACGCCGGAGGTAATCGTGGGTTTCAGTAAATTTCTGAATCACTTCGAGCTTTTCTCCAATCTGCTTAACCTGGCATGCACGCCGAGACTAAACTAAAGTATTGTTAAAAGTGACGTTAAAATAGACTCACTCACTATTTAGACGACTGTCGCAAGAGCCTGGGTAGCCAAGAGGTTAATGCGCTCGTCGCTTGTAAGGACCAGAGTTCGAATCCATGTGTACTATGTTTGAAAACATTCTTGGCGTGCCATCAGAATTACTTGTCACGAGGTTTATTTGATAAAAATCAAGGGACGTAAAACACACACATACCAGACATCCACATCTATACACGTTATATAAATTCAATCATGTGACCTAATTAGTTGGGCGGAGTGTGTAAAACTGCATGAACACAGTACCGAACTGTATGAATGCAAGACACTGTCGCACATGACTATCCGATTCAGCGACCCTTTGTTATTCGGGTTAACCCAACTTCCGGGTTATGTTACGTTCAACATACTTTCCTCCATGACGACAGGCTTGGGAAGATATCGCCTGTCTGACACTAAATAACCTTGTACAAAACGCTCTTCTCGTAACAAAAAAATCACTGAAGCAGAAAGCAACGTCGTCTGCTACTTGACAACGACTTCGAATGGTGTTCAAACGTAGACCATAATTTGTCTCTGAAACACTGTCAGAGCTATCATTAAGAATAACAGCTTCATACGCTAGCATACATGGAATATTTATCAATCAGATTACAGACTGACATACGTAACCAATCGGTTGTCACGCCCCAGGGGAAATATCTTAATCAGAGGCGAACTTCACTCAGCGAAGCTTCGCAGCGTCGTGTCATGATGAGCTTTGAGATCGGCTCTCTTCTTGTCTTTTCACATGACTCGCGTTTGAGAAACCCACACATTTACAGTTTACACAACATGCGAAATGAAAGGTAATTACCTACCTGTGCGGTGAATCTAAGCTATTGTCTGTAAACCAGGACACCTGCGTTCCATGTTGCCCCTGAGATAATCAGTCGACTGACTGCTCCACGCTCGCTCGTGTTGACATGACACGCTCGGTAAAGGTCACGTGATTGCCGGAGTTAGCCGAGTTCAACCGGTTAGCCAACAAGTCGGGCGATAGAAATATAACCATTACAGCAGTGTCCGTTCAGCTGACCTCTTCACCTCTCGTTAATTATTTAAAGATACACATATATCAAAACCCTGAGACATGCTGATTGAAAAAATACTCGATATTCTCGACCCTGTTAATCTTGCAGCCTCGATTATAATATATCGTAATGATATAATATATCTCTCCTCGAGTACAAATAACAGCATGAAGTCATAGCAAGGTACAAAACAATGGCGGAAAAACCGATGTTGTAGTAACGAGGCAGTCAAGGTGTTAAAATGTTTAGTGTTCAAGACCGATTGACACTGAACCATTAATCTTGACCTTGACCGTGTTGGGGATGTGTAAGGGAACAACACATCCTATTGATTCGTTATTCCGGACACTTGTAAATCCGGAATGTTACGTGGACCAGGGATAATCTACAGCGTCTTCTATTCTCCCTGGTGGAACGTTATGGGGTTCCGCCATATTGTTTTTGTTGTCATCGTATCCCAGTTGATGCTCATGATATCAGTCACAGGATTGGACACAAAGAAATGACAACATCTATGAGTGGAAATGCTTTATCATGTTCCCTGTAGTTCACATACGTGACGTGTATCCGTCTTGTCTCTGTATTGGATATGCGATATGAACAATACTGATTGCCTGTACATGATTTTGATGAACGTATAACATGTTATGATAATGAAGCAACGTTACAGTTTATGACCGGGAAAATAAAGTAGACGTCCATGTTTGATGGAGTTTAAAAATGAAAAGACACAAGATGTGGTTATCCAGCGGTCATATATTTGATTGTCCAGTTTGGTATGTTTCGATACTATAATTCTTTCCTTGGTTGTTTATAGAATATTTATTCACCACGAAACACACGAGATTGAATGAACCCCTTTGTGTATCTACTCTTGTTGCTTCTAATGTCGCTTTTCTCATCAAATATTGTTGCTTCCTGTCCTGTTACTACCACAACAACAACAACAACTACTACTACTACTACTACTACTACTACTACTACTACTACTACTACTACTACTACAACTATTACTACTACTACTACTACCACCACTACTACTACTACCACCACTACTACTACTACCACTACTACTTCCACTACTACTACTACTACTACTACTACTACTGTTACTACTACTACTACTACTCTACTACTACTACCACTACAACTACTACTGTTACTTCTGCTACTACTATTACTAGTACTACAACCACTACTACTACTACTACAACTACTACTACTACTACTACTACTGTTACTACTACTACTACTTCTACTACTACCACCTCTACTACCACTACTACTACTACCACCACTTCTACTACTGTTACTACTACTACTACCACTACCACTACTACTACTACTACTACTACTACTACTACTACTACTGCTACTACTACTACCACTACTACTACTACTACTGCTACTACTACTACTACAACTACTGCTACTACTACTACTACCACTACTACTGTTACTTCTACTACTACTACTACCACTACTACTACTACTACCACAACAACTGTTACTTCTGCTACTACTACTACTACTACCACTACTACTACTACTACTACCACAACAACTACTACTGTTACTTCTGCTACTACTACTACTACTACTACTACTACTACTACTACTACTACTACTACTACTGTTACTACTACTACTACCACTACTACTACTACCACTACTACTACTACCACTACTACTACTACTCCTACTACTACTACTACTCCACTGGAGATCTGCAGCATACTGCAGCACATAATGCCTTAACAGTTTCATGTTGCTGGACATGCATTTCGACAGGTTTTACTTTACGGTTCAGCGCAATTCTCGTTTCGCGCACCTGTCGGGGGGTGGAAGAATGGGAAGTTGTCATTAACAAGGCTATAACATTAAGGGGTACAGCCAAACTGACATGTTATGTGTTATGTGTTATGCATTGTAAACAAATACAGAATATCCCTTCATAGACGTCAGGTAAACGAACATGTGATAACAAACTTTGTCAATATAATGTGAAATGTGAGATGCGCTATCACTTTTGTCTGTTTGCAGTGAAAACGTACCAATCAATTTCACTTTAAACAAAAATGTAAATCAAATAAAGTGAAATTAAGATTGCGAATCCTCATTAAAAGTTGTTTAACAGACGATAATAGAATCAAATCGCTATTTTTGGTTTGTATAACAAGGGAGTAAACGCAGTAACTGGAACAGTGATACAAATGCACGTGCAGTACGTGATGAGACTTAACTTAGACCAACCCTACTTGTTCTCGGTGTTTCATTTAATGTGCATACCCCATCGTAATACAAACCAATAATAGCGATTTGAAACTATGATCGTTTGTTAAACAACTTTTATCCTAGTTACGTGGCTTTTTGCGCTTAGTCAGTGTAGTTCTGTAACGCACAATGTGATTGATATAACATCAAGTCCGTACCAGACCGCCAAACTTTTCTAGTGGGAGAGCCTCGTTTTGAGATTTCCACGATTTCCAGGTTTCCGTTTGTCAGAGTTTGCTGTGCAACAGAGCACGCTGCACGACGTGTTTGCAAGGATTAGAAGGAGCGTAGTGTTGCAATATACACGTGCTTAGGTGTATCAAATAATACTGATTAATAATTATGTATCCAGTTAAATGAATTGATCCCAAAATTCTGGACTGGTTATTGTACTAAGTTGCGCAACAGGACGGGACCCAGTCAACAGGTAACGAGACTGTTGTGTAATCAATGTTTTGACTTGTATTGCTGGAATATTGCTAAAAGCGGCGTAAAACTAAACACACACTCACCACACCGTCAGAGAGGTCAGCTTAAAGGTAAAGCACACTCTGACTTTCCTTTCACTGTTAGCAAGGGTAGTCCAAATTGTATGTATACATGATTATTACTCGTCGTCGTTTTCATTCCATAACTGGAGCCTTCAGCTGAAATAAAACTCCAACTTTGAAAGAGACGAAATATGGAGCTGCTTCTTCGCGGAATACAAATGTACTTATAATGGACTATAATTTGATAGGTTTTACGTGTCTTCAGCGATATTCTTGCTGCGCTTCACGAAGCGACACACATCGGAAGACCGAAGAATGAGTGAGTGAGGCTGTATGGTTTTACGCCGCTTTTAGTAACATTCCGGGCGGGGCACCAACAGTGGGCTTCACACATTCTACACATGTGGGAAATCGAGCCCGGGTCTTCGGCGTGACAAGCGGACGCTTTAACCATTAGGCTACCCCACAGCCCCTTCGAAGAGTAAGAAGCTGTCTATCACACAAAGGACATATAATTAGGGATAATCTACAGCAAGTCTTCTATTCTCCCTGATATAATTAAGGAGTACAACCAAACTGACATGTGTTTCTATTGTTGATGAATGCATTCAAAACTTAAAGCGTGAAGCTGTCGGTGGAGATCAGTATTAGCTGTGGGTGGAGATCAGTATTAGCTGTGGGTGGAGATCAGTATTAGCTGTGGGTGGAGATCAGTATTAGCTGTGGGTGGAGATCAGTATTAGCTGTCGGCGGAGAGCAGTATTAGCTGTCGGTGGAGAGCAGTATTAGCTGTCGGTGGAGAGCAGTATTAGCTGTCGGTGGAGATCAGTATTAGCTGTGGGTGGAGATCAGTATTAGCTATGAGTGGAGATCAGTATTAGCTGTCGGTGGAGATGCTGTTTCTAATGTCACTTTTCTCATCAAATATTGTTGCTTCCCCTGTCCCGTTACTACCATTAACAACAACAACTACTACTTCAACAACAACTACTACTACTACCACTACTACTACTAATGCTACTACTACTACTACTACTACTACTATTACTACTACTACTACTACTACTACCACTACTACTACTACTACCACTTCACTACTACTACTACTACTACTACTACCACTATGATTTATTACTACTACTACCGTTACTACTACTACTACTACTCTACTACTACTACCACTACAACTACTACTGTTACTTCTGCTACTACTATTACTAGTACTACAACCACTACTACTACTACTACAACTACTACTACTATTACTACTACTACTACTACTACTACTACTACTACTACCTCTCTACTACTACTACTACTACACACCACTACTACTACTACTACTACTGCTACTACTACCACTACTACTACTACTACTACTGTTACTACTACTACTGCTACTTACTACCACTACCACTACTACTACTACTACTACTACTACTACTACTACTACTACTACTACTACTACTACCACTACTACTGTTATTTCTTACTACTACTACTAACTACTTACTACCACTACTACCACTACAACTGTTACCACTGCTACTACTACTGCTACTACTACTACTACTACTACTACTACTTACCACAACAACTACTGTTACCACAACAACTACTACTACTACTACTGCTACTAACTACTACTACTACTACTACCACTACTACTACTACTACTGTTACTACTACTACTACCACTCAATACTACTAATTACCACTACTACTACTACTACTACTACTACTACTACTACTACTACTACTCCACTGGAGATCTGTAGCATACCGCAGCACATAATGCCTTAACAGTTTTCATGTTGCTGGACATGCATTTCGACAGGTTTTACTTTACGGTTCAGCGCAATTCTCGTTTCGCGCACCTGTCGGGGGGTGGAAGAATGGGAAGTTGTCATTAACAAGGCTATAACATTAAGGGGTACAGCCAAACTGACATGTTATGTGTTATGTGTTATGCATTGTAAACAAATACAGAATATCCCTTCATAGACGTCAGGTAAACGAACATGTGATAACAAACTTTGTCAATATAATGTGAAATGTGAGATGCGCTATCACTATAGTCTGTTTGCAGTGAAAACGTACCAATCAATTTCACTTTAAACAAAAATGTAAATCAAATAAAGTGAAATTAAGATTGCGAATCCTCATTAAAAGTTGTTTAACAGACGATAATAGAATCAAATCGCTATTTTTGGTTTGTATAACAAGGGAGTAAACGCAGTAACTGGAACAGTGATACAAATGCACGTGCAGTACGTGATGAGACTTAACTTAGACCAACCCTACTTGTTCTCGGTGTTTCATTTAATGTGCATACCCCATCGTAATACAAACCAATAATAGCGATTTGAAACTATGATCGTTTGTTAAACAACTTTTATCCTTGTTACGTGTTTTTTTGCGCTTAGTCAGTGTAGTTCTGTAACGCACAATGTGATTGATATAATATCAAGTCCGTACCAGACCGCCAAACTTTTCTAGTGGGAGAGCCTCGTTTTGAGATTTCCACGATTTCCAGGTTTCCGTTTGTCAGAGTTTGCTGTGCAACAGAGCACGCTGCACGACGTGTTTGCAAGGATTAGAAGGAGCGTAGTGTTGCAATATACACGTGCTTAGGTGTATCAAATAATACTGATTAATAATTATGTATCCAGTTAAATGAATTGATCCCAAAATTCTGGACTGGTTATTGTACTAAGTTGCGCAACAGGACGGGACCCAGTCAACAGGTAACGAGACTGTTGTGTAATCAATGTTTTGACTTGTATTGCTGGAATATTGCTAAAAGCGGCGTAAAACTAAACACACTCACTCACACCGTCAGAGAGGTCAGCTTAAAGGTAAAGCACACTCTGACTTTCCTTTCACTGTTAGCAAGGGTAGTCCAAATTGTATGTATACATGATTATTACTCGTCGTCGTTTTCATTCCATAACTGGAGCCTTCAGCTGAAATAAAACTCCAACTTTGAAAGAGACGAAATATGGAGCTGCTTCTTCGCGGAATACAAATGTACTTATAATGGACTATAATTTCGATAGGTTTTACGTGTCTTCAGCGATATTCTTGCTGCGCTTCACGAAGCGACACACATCGGAAGACCGAAGAATGAGTGAGTGAGGCTGTATGGTTTTACGCCGCTTTTAGTAACATTCCGGGGCGGGGGCACCAACAGTGGGCTTCACACATTCTACACATGTGGGAAATCGAGCCCGGGTCTTCGGCGTGACAAGCGGACGCTTTAACCATTAGGCTACCCCACAGCCCCTTCGAAGAGTAAGAAGCTGTCTATCACACAAAGGACATATAATTAGGGATAATCTACAGCAAGTCTTCTATTCTCCCTGATATAATTAAGGAGTACAACCAAACTGACATGTGTTTCTATTGTTGATGAATGCATTCAAAACTTAAAGCGTGAAGCTGTCGGTGGAGATCAGTATTAGCTGTGGGTGGAGATCAGTATTAGCTGTGGGTGGAGATCAGTATTAGCTGTGGGTGGAGATCAGTATCGGCGGAGAGCAGCATTGTCGGTGGAGAGCAGTATTAGCTGTCGGTGGAGATCAGTATTAGCTGTCGGTGGAGATCAGTATTAGCTGTCGGTGGAGAGCAGTATTAGCTGTCGGTGGAGAGCAGTATTAGCTGTCGGTGGAGATCAGTATTAGCTGTGGGTGGAGATCAGTATTAGCTGTGGGTGGAGATCAGTATTAGCTGTGGGTGGAGATCAGTATTAGCTGTCGGTGGAGATCAGTATTAGCTGTGGGTGGAGATCAGTATTAGCTGTGGGTGGAGATCAGTATTAGCTGTCGGTGGAGATCAGTATTAGCTGTGGGTGGGAGATCAGTATTAGCTGTGGGTGGAGATCTGCTGGGAGATCAGCATTAGCTGTTAGTATTAGCTGTCGGTGGAGATCAGTATTAGCTGTCGGTGGAGATCAGTATTAGCTGTCGGTGGAGATCAGTATTAGCTGTGGGTGGAGATCAGTATTAGCTGTGGGTGGAGGAGAGCTGTATGGAGCTGTAGCTGTGGGTGGAGAGCTGTGGTATTAGCTGTGGGGTGGAGATCAGTATTAGCTGTGGGTGGAGATCTATTAGCTGTCGGTGGAGATCAGTATTAGCTGTGGGTGGAGATCAGGTATTAGCTGTGGGTGGAGATCAGTATTAGCTGTCGGTGGAGATCAGTATTAGCTGTCGGTGGAGAGCTGTATTAGCTGTGGGTGGAGATCAGTATTAGCTGTCGGTGGAGATCAGTATTAGCTGTGGGTGGAGATCAGTATTAGCTGTGGGTGGAGATCAGTATTAGCTGTCGGTGGAGATCAGTATTAGCTGTCGGTGGAGATCAGTATTAGCTGTCGGTGGAGAGCAGTATTAGCTGTCGGTGGAGATCAGTATTAGCTGTCGGTGGAGATCAGTATTAGCTGTCGGTGGAGAGCAGTATTAGCTGTCGGTGGAGATCAGTATTAGCTGTGGGTGGAGATCAGTATTAGCTGTCGGTGGAGCTGGTATTATCAGTATTAGCTGTCGGTGGAGAGCAGCATTAGCTGTCGGTGGAGATCAGTATTAGCTGTGGGTGGAGATCAGTATTAGCTGTGGGTGGAGATCAGTATTATTAGCTGTAGCTGTCGGTGGAGATCAGTATTAGCTGTGGGTGGAGATCAGTATTATTAGCTAGCTCGGTGGAGATCAGTATTAGCTGCTGGGTGGAGATCAGTATTAGCTGTCGGTGGAGATCAGTATTAGCTGTGGGTGGAGAGCAGTATTAGCTGTGGGTGGAGATGTGGGTGGAGATCAGTATTAGCTGTGGGTGGAGAGCAGTATTATCGGTGGAGAGCTGTATTAGCTGTCGGTGGAGAGCAGTATTAGCTGTCGGTGGAGATCAGTATTAGCTGTCGGTGGGAGAGCTGTATTAGCTGTGGAGATCAGTATTAGCTGTCGGTGGAGATCAGTATTAGCTGTCAGTATTAGTGGAGATCAGTATTAGCTGTGGGTGGAGATCAGTATTAGCTGTGGGTGGAGATCAGTAGCTGTATTAGCTGTGGGTAGATCAGTATTAGCTGTCGGTGGAGATCAGCATTAGCTGTGGGTGGAGATCAGTATTAGCTGTGGTGTGGAGATGGAGATTAGTATTAGCTGTGGGTGGAGGTGGAGATCAGTATTAGCTGTGGGTGGAGATCAGTATTAGCTGTGGGTGGAGATCAGTATTAGCTGTGGGTGGAGAGCTGTATTAGCTGTGGGTGGAGAGCTGTATTAGCTGTGGGTGGAGATCAGTATTAGCTGTGGGTGGAGATCAGTATTAGCTGTGGGTGGAGATCAGTATTAGCTGTCGGTGGAGATCAGTATTAGCTGTGGGTGGAGATCAGTATTAGCTGTGGGTGGAGAGCTGTATTAGCTGTGGGTGGAGATCAGTATTAGCTGTGGGTGGAGATCAGTATTAGCTGTGGGTGGAGATCAGTATTAGCTGTCGGTGGAGATCAGTATTAGCTGTGGGTGGAGATCAGTATTAGCTGTGGGTGGAGATCAGTATTAGCTGTCGGTGGAGATCAGTATTAGCTGTCGGTGGAGATCAGTATTAGCTGTCGGTGGAGATCAGTATTAGCTGTCGGTATTAGTATTATGCACAGTGCAAACAAGTCATCGTATCCCTTCAGAGACCTCAGAAGTGAACAGGTGATAACGAACATTGTCAGTAAGATGGGAAACCTGAGATACGTTATCACTAAAGTGCTTTAGACATGATGTCGGAAACTAACAATCACATTTTATCTTTAATATACCTATAATTCGGTTTAAAATATCCACTGATTTAACTTCAAATACTTTTGGTACAAAAAAGTGTTATTTTATCAGAAATTGGATTTCACAATATCGAGTTTTGTTTAGTTGTAGTTTTATATCTGATAAAATTATCTCACTGTGGAATAAGTGCTTGCTATTGCCGGATAACTTGTGAACAGTTTGATCAGTAACCATTAAAGCCCCACGCGTTCAATAAATGAATGAATAAAAATGCAAATATCTCAACTACAATACAGTTATAAACATAACATCGGGCACTTGCCCTGGTTATATCAGTCAATATACACCATGTATCTACAGTCGTAAGAGAAATTTGTTCCAAGTCACGTGTCACGTGTGTTAGACTTGCATAAGTCTCTAATATAAGGTAATAATTAATAGTTTACACGGAATTATAAAAAAGAAATATTATAACAGACTGGCGTCCTTTCTGTCCCCTTATCTAGACTTGCCTCTTTAAAGGATAGAATTACTATACACCCATGGGCTTAGCCTTACACGTGTGCAGATTAATTTGTAGATTTCGAAAATGATAGGCGGACATACACACATACACATACTTCCTCGTCACCCCAGCGCACTTCTCAAGGGATGTTATGTCTTTCATAGTGTATATACAAGGAATTGAAACTGAAACCTTTACATACTGCATCTGTTAAGTATGAAGATAAACAACGTGTTCACCATCAAAGTATTTTTTGAAACAATTTACTTTTCCCCGAAATTCATATTGAAACTTGTTATGCGTGGAGTGTAACGGTTCCTGGTGCTGAGGGCTGGGAAACAATAATTAAGCATAACACAAAAGTTGTAAACAATTTATAACATCATCACTTCCAGCTTTTCTGAAACATGACCGAAACACTCGTCTAAGTAGCGTTAAACCCAACTCCTTAATTACTTACTACGCGTTATGTACGAGTAACAACAGCAGCAGCAACGACACCAACCACACCACAGGGTATGAAGTTTAATACCGAGAAGGTGACTAATTACAAAACAAATGGCTACACAGCTGGGTCAATTTGCTACACCGTGCTAGGGTTAGATAGACAAGTTTGTACAGGTTTGAGCCTTAAAGGGGGACTTCGCTCCACGTTGCGTGCCCTCGCATTGTAACTCGTGCCTTACGTCATTCTGTAAATAGTACTGGCATTATGTTGGTAAATAACTGCCAGATTCAATATCTGTTAGTAGTCAGACAAGATTGATTTTGACTGAAATCGGCCCTAGCTGAGTGTAGTCCCCCTTTAAACAGAACAAAGTGTTGCTGGATGCACAGAAAAACTATAGTGGTATATATGGGATAAGCAAATACTAGGCTTATCAGACAAAGCAGAATCAAATACAGTACTTATAAAAATAATATTCCTTCGACGTAACTGAGGATGTTACTCCGTCTTTCAAACAGCTGTACACTGAGGTATAGTTACACCTCGTCAAACCGGGAACTCAGTTTCTGTTGCAAACGTAATATACGATCTACTCATATACGTTAATGTGGACCTTTAAATAAGGAACGAATGACCCGGATTAACGGGGTTCCACTGTATTTATCACAAGTTATACATTACAAATGGGCATATGCATGCATAGTAAATAACCCATGTATTGAATAGTATAGTGATAGAATACATCTATTTACTACTTATAAAACACAATACACTGAAGTACTTGGTAATATTAAGAAAATGTTGTAAAGGCAGTTGCTAATTTGTATGTTTGTAGTACTATAATTTAAACAACAATCGAAAAATCCGAATTCTTTTGGGGGATTACAATCTTAACAATTTGACATTCGTTTATTCTCCTGCCACAAGCTCGTACATATATACACATTTTACGGGCGCTTCAAGTGTTTTCTAATCAAAACCACCTTATCCAACATGTCATTCTGTGTGTATCCAAATTAATATTTCGTATGCACGTTTTCTTACTTCAGTTTAACAAGTGTTTTGTTGGCAGTTGAGAACGGTGAGAATTAAAGTAGAAGATACATTCAATAATTGTCTGTTAACAAATCAATAGTATGTTTTCTGGGGTTTGATCCACTATTTAAAAGATTGACAGCCAAACAAATTCACAGAAACCAATTGCCAGTGTAAATATCAGCCATGATGGATGAGGGATGTCGACACAAGTATATAAACACAAACCATATATAACGACACAGGCAGCGGAACAAAGTATCCATTAGTAGCAGACTGGTGCAGAACATATCACAAAGTCTAGCGTTGTCCATGCGTCTGCAGACGTTACGTGGGCTGAATCACGACGTCGGTGACGGCGAATTGCCAACTCTGAAAGCTGCGTTACATTAAATATTCTGCTTGAAAGTTATTTTACAAGTTTTTGGTTTTATGGGAGACAACGACGGTTGGGTGTCCCGTTGAACAACTTGGTGTTGACGTCAACGGCGTCAAGTGTCAGCTTTGATTTGACGTTAGCGTCATCGACGACGTCCTGAAATGTCATAAGTTTCTTTGGGGTTGACAAATATATCTATTATCCGTTGATCCGTAAAGGTTTAGCATATGTATATGTCACTGTTATGCACACAGAAATGTACAACCATGCCCGCGTTTATTGGCAGGTGTTTATGTACTTCTGTCATTCCGCCTGCAGATGATGACGGGGACGGGAGAGTGGTGGGCGACGTAGTCACTGACGCTGCCGAGGAATGTCCGCTTGAGTTTACTCAGTCCCCGAGTCCCCGTGACGATCATGCTCGCCCCCTCCTCTGCGGCCGCCTGGATGATGGCCTCGCCCGGCTTGCCGTTCCCCTTCCGGATTTTACCGTGCATCTGAAAAAAACATTTGACGTTTTGATTGATATTGACACACTCTGTGAGCGCGAATGGTTCTCATGATGGTAATATGGTGACGCCCTGCACTACACGTGTCCCTACCTTCCTACCCATGTCCTGCCCTTAACTCAAACTTGCCTAAAAACTGTTGTTTCTCCTCTCCTATATCAGCCTATTACACATACCCCTTCTAATACCCACATTTCTTCTTTTACTCTTACCCCCAACTCCTTATCACCCCCTCATACGTCCTACATCCATCCATACCCGTGAAGATCCGGGTTAGAATATTGATCCTCAGTAACCCATGCTTGTCGTAATGAGGCGACTAACGGGATCGGGTGGTCAGGCTCGCTGACTTGGTTGACACATGTCATCGGTTCCCAATTGCGCAGATCGATGTTCATGCTGTTGATCACTGGATTGTCTGGTCCAGACTCGATTATTTACAGACTGCCGCCATATAGCTGGAATATTGCTGAGTGCGGCGTAAAACTAAACTCACTCACTCACTACATCCATCCATATTCCTTCTGCTACCCTTATATACCCCCTTCCACTCCTACCCTATACCTTCTACTTTCCCACCTAGCTCCTACCCAACTCTCTTCTAATATCTCCATTTCTGGTGTCCCCCGCCGTGATGTTGCTGGAATATTGCTAAAAGCGGCGTAAAACCAAACTCAGTCAGTCAGTCAGTCAGTCTAATATCCATACCCTCCCGAGCCACTATTCATAGACATGATTCAGTAAACCTAACACTGACTTGAACACTACTATCCAATAGATCATCGCATTTTTTTTATAGTTTACACTTCATTTCTGTATCGGCATGTATCAATATCTGACCCCACAACGGTAAACTATGTATCAATACGACTATTTACTGTTTCAACCCGATAACACGTCTGCTGATAATCGAAAATCTCTATTCATAATAATGCCGCACAACAAAAGATCATCTACTCAACAACTGGTCACAGCTTGTTTACTTCCTAACATCATACCGAAGACCCGGATTCGATTCCCCACATGGGTACAATGTGTGAAGCCCATTTCTTGTGTCTCCCGCCGTGATATTGCAGGAATATTGCTAAAAGCGGCGTAAAACCATACTCACTCACTCACTCCTAACATCATAAACCACGTGTCATACTGACCCCTGCATTGGCCATCAATGTCCCGAACTTCTCCTCGATACAGCGCAGGGCCTCGGTGTATTCCTTGAACATTTTCGCGGTTCGGCCTGGACCTAAAACGTATAAAAACAATATATAAATTCTGCGTGTATGGCACAACCGCTACCAAAAAACGTTTTACCAGGCCGATTGCACTTTTTATCTAACATTAACCCAGTAACGAACAGAATGACATGAAACTCTCCATTAATACAATCAACGAAAATATAACACGAAAGTATATTTTTGGTCTCATTGTGTGATGTGTGCTCTATGACTTGCTTATAAAACAAACGACGTTTGTTCAGATGGTGAATCTTCATCATTAATTTCTAAATCCAGAACCAGTTGTACTTTGTCCCAAGTTAATGCAAAACTAACATTGCATGTATTTATTCAGTGTTGGTAAAAACATATGATTTCTCCTCAAAGGTAATTAATTCGTGGCGATAAGATGGTAGTTTTCTATTATAAGACCCCGAATAAATAGCCCTGATGCGAAACGCACAGCTCATGTGTTGCTTGTCATTTTCAATCAATTTTGTTAATAGCATGTCGTGCAAGAGGCACCGAGGGTGATTGATTGGGCAATGGAATAAGCAGAAAATGGTGAAATGAACACCCTTGGATAAATCTCATGCATTTCAAGTCAATCGGAACATCAGAATTGCAAGCAGAGATAAACAAGGAGCTCTTCCTCAGTTTGTTGTGGCAACAAGTCAGTTTCTGCAGTGGTTGAAACGTGAACGAGGCTCGATATACTTAAAATGCTACTCGGCATACCAAAGCGGATTAGGTTAGACGGTTGTAACAAAACTCGAGCCATTAATCATGAGTCTGATACTGCGGACGGTTAGAAGAAAGTTGAACACAAATGCAGATATACTGACAGGTATTAGCGACGATCCGTGTGTTTTATGTACATGTTTTCACAGCTTTGGCTTCTAGATAAACAACAGTGAATTAAGACAAATTCTTTATACAAATACACAGCCAGTATAGTGGATATGATACCTCTTACCACTTGAACAACGAGCAGTAGTACACATATATACGACCCAGAGTGAGTGAGTGTGTCTTTACATCGTTTTCAGCAATATGCAGCAATATCATAGTGGGGGACAACAGAAATTGGCTTCAAACATTGTACCTATGTGGGGAATCGAACCCGGGTTTTCGGCGTGACGAGCGAGCGCTGTTATCACTACGACCCGAAAGTTGTCCGCCAAGGAAAAACACCTCATCTGTCTTCACATAATTAGTTCTGTGAGCTGAGTTGAGTTTAAGTTTTACGTCGCATCGGTACTGTTTCAGCCAGCGATAATGTAAGCTGAAGTAGGTAGACGTTGAATAGAATTCTATGACAGAATACTGGTAGCATTTAGTGCCACAAAGTGCCAGACCGCCTCCGTGGTGTAGTGGTTAGAGCGTCCGCCCGGAGAGCGGAAGGTCGCAGGTTCGATCCCCGACCGCGTCATACCAAAAGACGTTAACTTATGGTACTTGTTGGTCCCTGCCTGGCGCTCGGCATTAATGGGTACAACAAGGACTGGTCGGCTGGGAGTCCGTATAATGTGTCTGAGTGGGGTATTCATGTTTCACTGCGGATTGGTATCTCAGTGGGCTAGCACTATAAAAACAACAGCTGGGCTAGCACTATACAAACATGGTCGTCAATGAGCGAAAGTATTCTCAAGCACGACGAACCCCATCAATAAATGGCAGGGTGGAATGAAACCCTGGAACCATCAAGATATCGCATTGTCCACTGTGCTAAGACAAGTGCTGGTGTATCATCATTTTGGTGGTGATCGAAGCGCAGTATAATCCAGCTCACACACTCACTCACTCACCCAAGGACTCACTCACTCACTCACTCACAGGCTTGCTCACTTACAGTAGAGATGCTGCCAGGTTGTGGCTAGCATGAACTGTTATCACTGACCTTCGAAAGAGCATGCACGTTAACGTATAACATTTTACTGAAGCAATAAACCCCTTAGAACTCCACTTCAGCAGTTAATAGACACCACAAAACAAAACCCTTTCACATAGCCTACACAACAGCCGGGGTACTTACATATCGCGGGGTTAATGACAGCTGACCTGCATCTGGCGCAGGCTGTTGTTTATTTCCGGGCTCTTTAAACAATTGTAAAATGCTGTGGCGTGTTATTTGGCCAATACTTGGCAACGCACACACCTACTGCTGTTGCTGATGCTGTTATTTATTGGCACACTGCCTCTACTGCCAATACGGTTTTTCAGAGCATCATGATAACCTTATCTTTATTCCGATGTTGCAACCAGTCCTTACAGTCGCGTCTCCGGGCTCAAGGGGGGTTATAAAGAGTAAACTTAGAAATCATAACGGCATTGGAACAAAAAGCGTGTCTTAAGTAATCTTTCCCATCTAGGAATATGAGCGAATGTGTGAGTAGAAGTCACGGTTTCGCCGACATAACACGAGTAACTTGATTTTTGCCGTTTATTGAAACCCCCGTGATCGCTCTCATGTGTAGTATCTTGTCTTCATCGCAGCCCTCCCCAGTCGTGATCAGACATCTACTCTGAGGGAAAACATTGTCGAAGTTTCTACTACATGTAACTGGAATCGTCAACCATCATGAAATACCATTCAGAAAAACATTCAGAAGAAAATCAAAAAATGATCATGACTTCATAGAAGCAATTACTACCGTAGAGGCTTCACACCAGCTTCATCTCGCCATCTAACGCCATTTTCTTTGAAATGTTTATTTTTGTGGGGTTTAGGGTCGATCAGGTCCGTGATAAATCGTGCTTGTAAGAATCGATAAATGGGCATTGGGTGGTTACATTGTATTACAGGGCTTACTGGTTGTCATGGTAACCTGATGGCTCGGATCGAAACTGTTGCCATCTACGTGTGGTTGACCTAGTCCAGGTTATCAAGGAACCGCCAGATATCGTTGGAGATATCCGACAGATTTGAAAACAATTTTACGTCTTACATTACATTTTAGAGTAACACTTAGTGTCTGAATATATAAAAGTTTGATAGAAACAAATAATTCCATTTAAATTGAAAAGGAGCCCCAGTGATTTGGGAGAGTCAGATAAAAAATCTAGACTTGCTTCATTTACAGGTTTCGCAGTGCAGAGAACTCTTCATGGAAGGCAAACACTGTAGTTCAAGGACTGTGAGACAGCTAACTATGTTATAAACAGGAACATTACAGACTCGACCCAGACCAAGGAAACCAATATATGCTAGATAATGTGATAAAGTAAAATTCATAAATACAATAATGAATTTCGTTCACTCTGAGACCATTGTACAAGGCCAAACAAGTGCATGTAAGTTCGTGAACCATTGTCAGATAGCGATGATATCGGGTGTTCCGTATGATATGTCAAGTCCACATGCTATTAATCGGTGGCCTGGATCTGAAAGCGACGATACGACTGTTGTAAACCTATGGAAGATATGACAATCTTAGAGTTACTGTCGCTGGGCCCTGGTCAGTTTTAGAGCTGTTCTTGTCTGGACATTTCCTGCCTGACATTACCTCAGACACATCACCTATTGTGACCATCCAATACCCATTCTCTCAGCAGTTTACCAGCACACGGTATACGCGATATAAACACATAAACAGATAAACAAGCACAGTTGTCTTAAAAACCCGACATGATCTAATACCTCAAACACAGTTTGCACAGTTTATACGCATTTCGCTGACAAATGTTGAGCCACCAAGGTGTGGGTTTGAATCCCATATTCGGTCTAATTATGTTCCGTAGATTGGAAGCACCATAACCATGCTCGCTGGTTTCGTAAGAATGGTAAATGTAAGAATGGTAAACGTAAGAATGGTAAATGTAAGAATAGTAAACGTAAGAATGGTAAACGTAAGAATGGTAAACGTAAGAATGGTAAATGTAAGAATGGTAAATGTAAGAATGGTAAACGTAAGAATGGTAAATGTAAGAATGGTAAATGTAAGAATGGTAAACGTAAGAATGGTAAACGTAAGAATGGTAAATGTAAACGTAAGAATGGTAAACGTAAGAATGGTAAACGTAAGAATGGTAAATGTAAGAATGGTAAATGTAAGAATGGTAAACGTAAGAATGGTAAACGTAAGAATGGTAAATGTAAACGTAAGAATGGTAAACGTAAGAATTGTAAACGTAAGAATGGTAAACGTAAGAATGGTAAATGTAAGAATGGTAAACGTTAGAATGGTAAAAAGAATGGTAAACGTAAGAATGGTCAACGTAAGAATGATACGCCGTGATGTTACTGAAATACTGTCCAAAGTTCGAAACTCACTCACTCACTATAAAAGAGAAATCCACAGCGGGGAAAGCTTTAGCAAGTTCACGCTACAATAGTTAATCACTAAATTACTTAATTACCTCAACACATATAATTGATCAATTTATATCAAAACGGTAATGGTTTGAGAAGAAAAATCAATTACTTTCAGACAGGTATCTGTCAGCTAATATCCTCTAGTTATTCGCATCAACTATCAATCCAGCACTTCTGAGTGACGTCTTAACGACGTTGAACTGCACCGTCAATGCCAACACGGCATATCGGCGCCAGGTTCTGTATATCGCTGTGATAGCGCTGGTTTCATGATTGCATTATGGCGTTGTACCTCATGGCATCCTGGTGTATATAGATGAGGACAAAGACTGGAGGTCATTCAGGGACCACGGATAAAAACAGCAGATAGATTGAACAATGTAGGATTCCACTAAAACGCGTTGAACTAGAGATTTTATTCCCTTGGTATATTGCATTAAGTAAACTTCTGTGTTTGATTCAATTCAAAGCTTTAGCACCGAAGAATAATCAGTCTCGAATAATCAGATTCCTTAGTGCATAAAGGGCAAAATAGTTATTTATATATATGATACCTTTGTTTACTGATACACTGGATTAAAGACGTTATAACCTTTGTATCTTTCAACGCAAATGGTAGATGACGATACCAGTATATTGTTACCTTAAAAAGACAGAAACGCAATTAAGTCTTCCCACATGGTACTTACATGGTCTGGGTGGTGGAGTAGCCTA